TTCTACTTATTTTGGAACTAAAAAAAGAACAAACTTATCAGCTTCCCCAAAGCTGTTTTTACCTTTTAACTCCAACGGAAGGTATATGTCTTGCTTGAGAAAGAGGTAACAGAACTGAATGGGAATAAACATGAAAATACCTGATGCCTGCCAGCTGTAGTGTACACCACCTGAGGTGTCCTTTGCCGCCCTTCAAGGCTAATTGATGACTGATGATAGCTGCGAGAGAGAGTTCCATTACCTGAAGCTTGCACATCGTAATAAAGGAAGACACGAAAGCGGGGGCTGAATGTGATGGGTGCTGTGAGGAATCTGTTACTAGTGCTCGGTCTTTCGAGGAACAACTTGGCACTTGAGGCACAACTACCGGCAACAGGATCAAGCTTAAGACAATTCAACAGCTCCACACGAACACACTATACTTACAGGCATCACTGCTCGACGGTACAACAGCATAAGCCGGGACCAAGTCCGAATTTGCTGCTCGCTGCGCTCGGCCATCATGAGCGGACTGAGTCATTTGCGGTGCAATGTAGTTGTCCGAGCCGGCAAAATGTGTCGAAGAAATGCGATGTGCAACAGCAGCCGGCATCATCGGATGACCCATCGTCAAATCTGCACAATACACAGTATGCAATATTAAATGCCACAAACACTGAACAATCATGCACCATGCGCCACACAAACACAGCAGCGAGCGATAGTTCGCAAAACATAGGGCAAGACAAAACAAGCAGTGCAATTATTGCAAACAAAAAGTGACGATCTCAAAAAAAAAAAAAAATATACTGAATGCTCAGTCTCTGTTGCATGCTTTGAAAAATAAAAAAAAAAAAACTTCTGTTCCCCCTTTTTTGCCACTTTAACTTGAAAAACCATCAAATTAAATTCCATTTCAATTACGACGAATTATAAAAGATTTCTTCCTCAAAATCCTGAAAATGCCTGCCCAGAGAACCATAAAAAAAAAAAGAAAAACCAAAAACCTCTCGTTTGCTGCTGATTTCGTCATCCGTCCCCTTGAAAACATCAAATTTTGGCACTTATCAAAAAAGCACAAACAGGCATGCAATAATGAAGCTAGTGCATGAAAATAAACAAATGGCTTAGTAGTGCGCAGAAATTTCACCAAGCAATGTGGAAACAAAGAAATCCAAAATAATGCACAAAAGTACTGAGCAAGCCATGCACGCTACGTTTCTTCAGATCCTAATCCAGTGCTTCCGGTCAGTTAGTGCCCAGTTTACAGCTTCAGATAAAAAGACTGTCTGGCCCAACACAGCAAAAAAATGCATGCTGCCAGTGAACTGTGGAAACCCAAAATGCTGGAATAAGGAAGTAGTAGCACCTTGGAGTGCATGATAATGTGCCTGTGACGAATCGACCATTTCAATCGAATCCAAGACAACACCGGCGGCACCATCGCCGCCGCACTGGTTCAGATCATTTAACGATGTTGCTAGCGTTGCTGCTGCTACCGCTGCATCGTCAATTAGATCTTCTACAACAACACATCAGGGACTTAAGCGACAGCGACAGAAGCATTGCAGCACATGCAAATTTTTACAAGAGAATCCTCAACGAATCCAATTTACCACTTAAAATTAATATTCTGTACTGGGAATTCAAATATGAAATATCGTACTCCTTCGTTTTCTCTTCCCTTTCACAAAAAGCTGTAAGCTTCCGACGAAGCGAAACAACGACTTATGAAAGAAACCATGCCATTTGACAATGCTTAAACACAGTCAGCTCGAGTTTTTGACATCTGTGGGGAACAAGCAATTACGTCCCTGGTCAATATTGAAGGTCTGGATGTGAAGCCACCGCATTAACAAGGGAAGGAAAACGATCGCTCACATAAGTTTCGAAGAAATGGCGCGTGCACTCGACAGAAAAAGCGGTAAGCACATGCAGAGAGAACCCAGAGGGAGAAGGTTCTGGCGCTGTTTCAGCTCATAAATTTATAGCTTTCAGACATGAAGTCCAAACAACTTAAAATATTAAGGAATGAAATGAGTGAAACGTTAAGAAGGAAAGTTTGAAAAATTTGTCTAAAGTGAGTGGAGAATTTTCCTACATGTCTGTCTAGTCAAGAAATAGAAGAAGTAGACACTTAGTAAACCGACGCTAAGCAAAGATTTTTCCCGCTGACAGGAACTGCACTTGGGGAAGCTAAAGTGACGAGTCTTAGCCTGCTCCGTCGCCCAGCAAAGGAAAAGTTAAAATTTTAGATCCGTGGCTGAATCCAGTCGGGCTGCAATCATCAGGCAAGGGCAATTCCTGTGACAGAATTATCAGTCTCGAAATGCGTGTTACCACGAAGGAACATCTGATCTAAGCATTCCGGCGATTCTTTTCTGGACCTAATACTTCTCCCTTTTCCTCATACTTTTTAGAAGTACTGTTTGCTTGATTCAGAATCCGATGCATTTACCCGAATTTAGAATGAAAATACAGATAAACGTTTCGAATTCAAAAACACTGAAGGTAAACCACATTACATGGACAATCAGCCCTATGGATTTTTCGCATTTTGCTGAAAGCAGAAAGACAGGCAAGCACGGAGCATCTAAAGCAACACCGCAAAGCTTCAAAGCCAGTACAACAGTTATAAAACAAACAGAAAATTCAGGACACGTGGAAGCATAGCGAAAAAAGGTACCAGGCTCACGCAACTGCTGCCCATTCATGTGATTAATCCACAGATCCGGTGGTCCCTTGCCATTCCCTGCTTGCTTCCTTCCACGCATATACCCTGAAGCAGCCGCTTTCTTGCTGTTCTTCGATCTGATATACCAGATCAGCGAGATTAGTAAAATCAGCAGCAAGACAGCAACAGTGGTCATGATCCCTAAATAAACTGGGGTGAGGGGGAATGCTGGCCGAGCAGGATCCGCATTCGCATCGATAGCCTGAAATGAAAATTACACAATTATTATTATTCACTACTTCCTATGTGCAGTAAAAGAACAAATCGCAGCGGTCGCTACTGCTCTCTCAAGTCCTAATAAAATCAATTTATTCATTGTTAGTAAAATTCATAAAAAAAAAGGGAATTTTTGCAAATCGAATCAGAGCTAATTTGTTTTGGCGAAGACAAACCATCTAAACCTGAAAAGG